TTCGAATTATCCGTATAGTTGCACATGGACTTGTCGTCAGTGGAGAAGTGACCATCTGCAATTACATATGAATTAAAATTAGTAGACAAGCCTATTAGAGCAAAGTGAGTGAGTGATGATAGTTAGTATACTGAAAACACGGGGATGAAAATGAAGTTGGAATGGGGCGATTAAGCTTAAGGGAATAGATGGGGTGTGAAAAGACGCAAACACTTGAGTAGTAGCATCCCTGTCCCTATATACCCTGCTCGATGCAACAGCCAGGGCGTCGCTGATTGTCTTCCGTAACAATCCGAGCATCCAGAAATTGTGTGAAGTGGGCGTTGTCTTGTGTGGGCAGAATACTGTCAGGTTGCCAAAGCCAAGACAGGAAAATGATAAGGGCTCTCAATCAAAGTCTTGGGTTAAAAGACCTAGTTGCACGGCAGCGGGAGCTTACACTATGTTACAGAAAGTCTGTCTTATGGAGACTGCGTTTGTCTGCCCTCTAATCATTGACTCATCAAGCACCATAGCCCAATTGATTGTTGAGACACGCAAACCATCGCACCACGTTATGTTCCAGTTTCATCGCGGCGTCTTTGGTAGGAGTAGCAGCCAGCGACCGCCTGTCCAAGGACGTTTGCCTTTCCCATCATCTAGGTTAATTTCGCGTGTGATACTTGTACAGAGACGCGATGCGAGCCACTGGTGCTCCTTGAAGGCCCGAGCATCCGACGGGGGGGTTGCTGTCACAGCGACTGGCAATCCCAAGAAGAGATGCCACCCACCATTTACCTGGGCGGAGGCAAGCTATTTCATGTGTTAACTATGGTCCGTAGCCGGTAGACGAAAACAGAACACGCAACTGTAGTATGAAACCGTTTTAATGAAAGCTTCCTGCGTTACAGTGGCTAGAAATGTCGACACGAAAAATCAATAAAATGAGGAAGGCGAAGTCATTTACAACAAATCATGTGAGCGCCTATGTTCACGATCAATATTCAAGTGCACGCGTGTCACCCCTCTCTTCCCTGGTGAAGGCTGCAGACTCCGGGTTGATATCGATCAACTGGATTAGGCGTGCGTTTTGAACGTCTTAATTGAGGTTACTCCGCATCCGTTTGCGGTTCCTTATTTTGTGAAGCAGACTCCACATCCGCTTTTGCGTCAGTAGCAGTCGATTGTTGATCCAGCTCATGCGGTTCGATTGAGCATGGCCGCACATTCTCAATATGACGGCGAGCCACACGGCCATCCTCCAGCTACAGCTCCGCTTGGTTACTCGCTGAGAAGAAAAATGTAGCGGATTGCTGGCTTGCTTCGTGAGGTAGTCTTGTGTATACTCCGTATACCTGCTGCCAGGGCCTCTTTGGCCAACGCCATGGGTGTATCGGTCTGGGAGATATTTGTCCTTGGTATTTCTTACATTGTTCGCAATTTTCAGCAGCCGCTCTGTATCCTGGTCAGTGTTCGGCCAGCATCAATAGTCACGTGCCAGTGTCTTCATCCTTTTCATACTAGGATGTGCTTCATGCAGATCTCAGCAACTGGGGTCGTAGTTCGTCTGGTGGAATTATGTGTGAGCCCCGAAATGTACAGCCGTCGTAGAGACTCAACTCGTTACTCCGACAGGCGAATGGTTTCAGTTCGTCTAACGTGCTTGTAGGCCATCCGATCAATAAGAACCGTTTCGACATCAACAATACGAGGTCCTGGTCCGTCAGGCGCCACACCACTTCACTCCGGATGGGTGTCTTTTCAAGTTTCTCATCAGATTGATAACCGCTATGGTTTCACTGTCCATTTTTGTGTCATGCTGCTGCGGGAGACGACTAAGTGCAGTAATATTACTAGTTCCGCTTACATACTGAAGCTTGTAGATATAGGGGCTCAAAAGTAATACCCACCTTTGCATTCGAAGCGAAGACGTCTGTTGGATTTCTTTCTCTCCACCCAGAAGCGAAAACTGGTTTGTGGCCAGTGTGGATATCGAGCTGTCTTCCCCAGTCGTACTGGTGGAAACGCTTGACTCCGAAAATAATCGCTAAGGCCAGTCTGTCCAGTTGGGAGTTATTTCTTTTAGCGGCTTGCAGGGTGGAAGAATCATAAGCGATTGGACGAAAGGAACCGCCATCCGTCCGATGGCGATGGACTGCGCTTACTCCGCCTGGGGAAGTATCACTCTGCATCAGTAGAGGCCGGCTCGGATCGAACTGCGCGGGGAGGCGCTGAGAGCTCTTTTTGGATTTGAAAAGGGCTTTCTTTGCTCAGGACTCTAAGTTCGTCATCATCATCAACAGCAGTACGTCAGCCATTTGAACTGATGCTTCGCTGCAAATTATGTAGCCTAGCTGCCGTCCTCCATGACTCAGTGGCTTAGGCTGCTGGTTAGTTGGCGTCAGCCTCTGGCGGTTACGGGTTCGATCCACGGTAGGGAACCGAGGGCATGTGCACCATTGACCTGCCCCAATAGGGCGAAAGACGTCTGGGGCTTTTCCGAATTGTGCTTGAGCTATGTAGCTTGTGAGCTTGGACGAATACATTAAAAAAGTTCAACAGTTAGTTTGTAGTCACCACAAATACGTACAGAACCCTCCGACTTCAGGACTGGAACTATCGGAGCTCCGCACTCACTGTATTAGACTGGCTCGATTGTTCCTGCTGATTGCAATCTCTATCTCAGTGAATAAGATAGGGTACGTGCTCTGAAGAAACGGGGTTGAATTCGCGACCCTAATTTGATACAGGCCTGATATCCGTTCAGTTTTCCCAGCTTATCCACAAAAACTTCAGAATATTTGTTAAGCACATCCTCCAAGCGCTGGTTATTGGACATGAATCTTACTGTCTCTAGCGGAGCCTGGTGGCATTTAATCCAGTCTCGCCGGACAATCGTTCGCCACAACATAGGCTTGTATGGTCCGTTTCTCCTCATGCTACTTAACGTGAACAGTGCATTTTCCTGGGACTGGTATCGGTTGCCCGGTGTACGTCCGCATAGTTCATTCACAGGGAGATAACTTGGGGCAATCTTTTAAGATACATCACTGATTATGGTGACTGAGGCACCGGTATCAACTTCATTTTAACCAGTTGGCCTTCTATTTTCTGTCGCACAGTGTAGGGTGGGTGAGTGTTGCAGATGCTCGACGCTGCATTCCAAATCCTGTTTAGCTAGTCATCTTCGTCTGACTACTGGACCGTCTTCACGGGCTACTTTGGAAATAAATAACCGATTTATTCTCAACAGTGCGAGACGCCTGTAAATACATAACGTCGCAGCTGTGCCAGTTTTAGACCGGAAAACGCGCCAAGTACCCTAATTTTCCATATTGGCGGCAGATGTTCTGTATGTGACGACATTCCTTGGCTGATAAATACTGATTTCCACACCTAAAACAGGTAAAAGGCAATGCGGACCGTCTCGTGGTAACACTTTTTTCGGTCACTTGGTGTGTTTGTGGACATTCCTCAGCCGCCGAACAATATTGCGGACCTTCTCCCAGCTCATCGTCGTCTCATCTTCCAACAACAGCCTTTCACTAGCCTGTTCGTTACGGATACCGGATATCAAACACTAGACCCATTGCTTCTTCGTAGTGGCCGAGTTTTTACTATACCAACATTCCCTTAGGGGTCGCTGTATCCTCGCAATGAAATCAATGATACATTTTTCAGGGTTTTGACGCAAGGCGATGAAAGAATACCGCGCAGTATATGTGTTCAGTCGGGAATCCCATAACCCGCTGTGGACTACTAGCGCGCTGTTAGTTGTCGCCTTCTCAACGACCTGGAGGGCATCAAAATATCTTTGGCCTTCATCTCCCATAAATTGTCGCAGTAATTTAATTTTATGAATCTCTGAGAGTACCGTGTTTTGTTGTAAGACAGGCAGGAACTCCAAATAATCCAAAAAATGCGCTTCCAGACAGCTGGTGTTGGTTTTTCAGAAGGAATATTCCAAACTAGTGTAGGAAGGTGCAACATCACGGTAGTTTAACCTTGTCGCCACTATGGACCGTAGCCGATGGACGAAAACAGAACACGCAGGCCTAGTGTTGAATCCTTTTAATGAAAGATTCCTACGTTACAGTGACTAAAATGCCGAAACCAAGACCAATAAAATAAGGAAGGTAAGGCAAGGTCATTGTCAACCAACCATGTGTGCGCCCATGTTTTCGAGCAGTATACAACTGCACGCGTGACAGTTTGAATGGGTCACATTACCTTTATTCTCCTTATCTTCACACTATGGCCGGTTGTTTGTGACTATCTTTTTGGCATCATTCATGCGCTTCACTTTTTAACATTTGCCTAAGGTGCTCAGCATTTAAACCATAATCTTCACATTTTTAGTCATCGTCGGCATAGCCATGGTTATCGTAGAGAAGCGGCGCTACAAAGTAGATACAGTGCGTTTGACGGCACGGTGTAGTGCACAGTAGTTCCTAGTTATTATTTTGTTAGGAAGGCTTTGGTACGCATATGTGTGTTAATTTTATCTGGGGGGTCCTTATCTATCAATCTGTGCCCATCAAATGTCCAAACTTGAACGAATATTGTAGTGGTTTCTGTATTGAGGTCATCGAAGTTTCAGACCACGTTGGAACGATTAATGTCCATTCTTTGAGCTGGTTGCTTTAATGTATTTTGAGTTTTCTGCTTATTATTTTTATTTACTAATTGTTCACGACACTGTTCAGAACACTCATTCGGTATACTTTTGATACGGTGTCTACTTCTGAAACGATTCGATGGTGCCCGTTGCTCTCCATTAGTTTTTCGTCTTTTTAATCGAATACCTTTTCCATCTTTTTAATTCTATCGCTTCCTTATTTCTTACTTCGTTGTCATCTCTGATGTCTGCTTACTTTGGCCACATCTGGACACGTGACCGCACTTTTCACACAGATTGTGGCCACTTTCCCCAGATGTCGAAGTGAACTGAGCACCTTAATCTGCCCAGCTCTTTCGTGAGTGCAGTGTGACTGCATGTATGGTGCAACGAAGTTTCCTTAATGCTTAAAGAGGTCGAACTATTCAACCAGTACGAACGTGTTACCTTCCACCATCGTATTGTTTCCATTTCAGCCTCCCTTGGTTTATCTGCCTCGTGCGCATCACTGATGCTATCCATGGAACCGTGGTTGCCAATCGCCATTCCAGTTTTTCTCGGTTTGGTTTTACGTTCTGGCGTTCTTTTGCATCCCTACTCTGGACAGTCAAAACCACCACTGTATGGAGACTATGAAGCCCAAAGACACTGGATGGAGGTAACCACTAATCTTCCAATCCGCGATTGGTACACCAATTCTACTGACAACGATTTACAGTATTGGGGTCTGGATTATCCCCCTCTTACAGCATACCACAGTTGGCTTATGGGGAAGATTTCCGCTTGTTTCGACCCAGCTTGGACGAAACTTTATTCCAGCCGCGGGATCGAATCTTACGATCATAAAGTGTTTATGCGCTACACAGTCCTACTGGCCGATTTGGTGATTTTTGTTCCCGCCGTGTTATACTTTTTCTATCGGGCTCTACGCTCTATCTATTCCTATCCCTGCATCTCTCCTTTCTACTCTTGCTGTCTTATGCTGATCTACCCTGGTCTCATTCTAATTGATCACGGACATTTTCAGTACAATTGTGTCAGTCTGGGATTGTTTATAGCCGCGGTATCTTTTTTCCTTCGCGATTGTGATATTTTGGGTACAATACTTTTTTGTTTATCCATTTGTTATAAACAAACAGAGCTTTATCATTCACTGCCGCTCTTTTTCTATTTACTCGGAAAGTGCTCCCACTGCCCATTCCGAGCGGGTTTATCGAAGCTTGTAGGCCTCTCATTTGCCGTTGTTTCGACCTTATGTTTCGTCTTTTCCCCTTACCTCACGGATCTAACTTCACTTTACCAAGTTATTCGTCGTATCTTCCCCCTGGATCGTGGTCTATTTGAAGACAAGGTTGCAAATTTTTGGTGTTCCACTTCTCCGTTTTTCAAATGGCGTCTTCTCGGCACTCAGAATGAATTGATCTCTCTATGCTCCTTCGTTGTGCTGCTCACATGTTTACCATCTTGTGTTTCTCTCTTGTGCGCTCCGCGTAAAAAGAAGCTTCTGTTCGCTCTGGCCGCTTCTTCCATGAACTTTTTCTTATTTTCATACCAGGTGCACGAAAAGTCGATCTTACCGGTGGCCATTTCGGCTTTATGTCTAATTCCTCTGTCCCCAGTGTCTTCGTTCTTGTTCACGCTGACCTCCACTCTCAGCATGTGGCCTCTGTTCCTCAAAGACGGACTAGCGCCTGTCTGTTTCTGCACAATCGTAATGTACACTACTTTCTGTTATTCTATCCTCTTACACCGGCCCCAAAAGACATTGGGATTCAGCTATCCAGGTCTGTTGCTTGCATTTGTACTTGGTAGTTTTGGCTTGTTGTTCTTGACTGAGACATTCGTATCCCCGCCAGCAGCCTACCCGGATTTGATGCCACTGGCTGTCTCTGTGCTTTCTTTTGTACAGTTTGTCGTTTTCGGACTATTTTGGAATTGGAAAGTTTTTGTGGTAGTCGATTAAAGCTTCCTCTTAAAGTTACTCCTGTTTTGCCTCGCCATGACTTGGTCTCCACATCTCGCTTTTACATGCTCTTTTTGCCTATGAAGTGCCACTTTGACTTTCACTAACCTGTTTGGATATGCTTTTCGTGTGACAACTAATGCACACGTTCGCTGTGATCTCATTTCATTATTCTTCAGTGGGTGTTTCCGTGGCATAAACGCCTTGACTCTACCGCTCATCTTCTGTTGTGTATGATTTTGCGTGACAGATTATCACTCATTCGTCGGTCACTTCCATTCATCACCATGTGTATTTGTTTCTCGGCTATCTACGTATTACGAACTGTGTAGCTCACTCTCAGAGTAAACATTCTAGACCCCTTCATTCATGGGTCTTAAAAGGTGTGGACTACGGGTCATTGAGGTCTGCTACACAAACGACGGAGGCGACAAAGAACTCATGTTAGGTGGCTCCGGTACTTGCACTTAGCCAGCTGTAAGCAAAACGCGGTGGGTAGTCTTTCTCGGTTGCTCCTGGTACATTGGAATTGTCTTCAACCTGGAGTTCGATAAGCTGCACCTTTCTCTACTTTTAGTGCCTGTCCACCGCATATTGTGCCTGACCTGTGACACCAAAAATGTCCCACTTTCTAATATCCCCTCTATCCTTGTCGGCAACATCGTCGCGTCTCCCTAAGCGCGCTGTCATTCAAGCAAATAGCAATATCTAGAAAACTTTTTAATATCAGTTGATGGCTTTCAATTCATGTTGAAGCGAGACTGAAACATTAATTCCGGGTGTTTCGAATGCCATGCTCCACTGTCCAATAGAGCACTCAGATTCCTGACCGAGTGAGTAGATGTATGTTGCATCTTTATCCTCCGACCACCGTGAATTATTCAGTGGTGCGATAACACCGTAGGAGCCAACTCGGCACTGGTCCCGTCCGGTTTGACGGCGGTTCCGCTGCTTCTTGCGGTTTTGGCTCTTCTCGTTCACTAGATTCATCATTCTCTTAGCGCTTTTCTTCAGACATATAAGATTGCATAAATTCTTTATCTCTCATTCACTCTTTTTCACTCTGCTACCTAAACTAACATGGATGCCCTCCGGCTGCTCCTCAAGTGGACTTTTGGCAATAGGGAGCCGGTCTCCTTGAATTCCTAATTTCACTTGAAGTATGTGAAGTTCAGTGCCATAGGTTGAAACTGATCACATCTAGGCTCAGTCCAACAGGCGCCACACGTTCGGGAAAGCATTGTACGGCCGTTTCATCATTTCCAGATTGAGTTGTATGATACGACCATTTGTCATACCAAATCCATCCAACGCTATTCAGCCGGAAAGGCTGCTGCGTATGAGCGCGTGCACTTGAGTGCGTGTTTGTGTACCAACCAACCAGTGTCCCATGTTGATTCGAACTGCAAATCGTTTTCACGTTCAAATGACTCTCGTGACAAACAGTTTTACATGCTCACATGTGCTGAGTAGAGTGCATCGCTTTACGCTTGCTACTAAAGTTTTCCTACTACCATACCGCTATTCTGATTTCGCTTAGGTATAACATATTGGCGATGGTTGTGAAACTTGGTGTTACCGTCAAATCGGCGGTGGATTCAAGCAACATGTAGGACTCCGGAGTCAATTCAAAAGTCAATGCCGGAAAACCGCTACGATACTATTTTTACTAAATGTTAGGGCAGCAAATTATATACTGGTCTCGACAATGTCCACCACAAAATACACAATAGTTCTGTTCTCAAAGTAAAACGGGGTCCAAACATGACCAAGTGCCGGCATAATTAACTGAAGTCCAACCGGTTACACAGCCGACTACGCAATACATTCAGACTCGATTTAAAGCAAAACGATCAGTAGTCCAATCATTCAAACCGTAAGAATGGGCGTCCGGGCAGCGAATAGGTAGTGCTTTGAGGCATGCTTAGGTGGAATCCAAAAGATTGATTTGTCAGTTACACCTGACCAATTAGATCAGCAGACATAAGGAGGCTAGTTACGTTCGACCCCTGGTGCGTTCACATTTTGGCTCGTATCTGGTGGGAACACCGTGTGAGCAATGAGCGTTTTCAACGCCTTGTTTATGGCGTAGGAAGAAGAAGCGAACCTCTCAGCACTGTCATTTCACGCAGCAGTTTCCGGTGGGCGGGCATGTGCAACATGTGGCCCAGTCACGGGAGACTGATGCGTGAAATGTCGGTGTGCGTTGTTTGCTCGCCGGGGGTGCGGATGGAAGAAGAGGAGAGGTGGCCAAGCAATGACTTGGTCAAGAGGAATGAAGTCCCTTACCTCAAAGTTGGCGTCGTCGGAACCTCTCGGCTCCCTTGTTGGGGACCGAGAGACGATGAATACGTTTGGCTGAATACACTTGTTGACATGGCTAGGAACGGATCTCAGTGGCGTTTGTGTTGTGCGTCTCTTTGCCCTTCCTCTCCCGCTTAGGCTCCCCCTCCCATTACGATCTCAGTTTTTAGGCATTATATGACTACTCTGCTGCACAATAGCTAGATGATACCTCTCCGGAACGATGTTCATCCGTTACTCGTGCGTCAGCCGACGTGCCCCTGTTTCACGTTTTTTCTATTGTGGCACAATATCTGGGGTGTTTTCCACCTCCAGCTAACCTGTATAATGATGACGCTGATAATGATTGGCGACGGAGGTAATTCGGATATCTCATGGCAAATTCGATTACGACACCCCTACCGTTTTGGAATTCTCCCACTGAAAGGCCTACTATCCATCAATGGATGCAGTGGAAACTTACTCTCATTAATTACCTTGATCTACTTTTGCTTCTTGGCGGCAGCTGCACGCTAGACGATGCGGCGAAAATCATACTACTACGCCACCACGGTAACGAGGGCCAGCGACATTACGACCGTTTGCAATTACATACCAAAAGAGGCCTACGATATGTGTTCTGGACCAACTTTTGGGGGGAAAAGTCACATTTGTTCATAGCTCACTACAAATTCCACACCATGCGACAACAATCGATGGAACAATGGTTTATTAGGGGGGAAAAGCATTGCTTAACTAGTCCCCTGGGATGGCAATTATTGCGAAAATCAATTGCATGATAAAGTGAAAAGTGTTGTGGTGGACTCATCATAGACTTATGTAGAATAGCGGAGATGTTCGCGTATTAAACGTATAAATCCATTGGTTAGGCGTTTGGCACTACACCATTTGATTGCGTTTTGTAGCCTCTGGCTAACAAGTCATAAAATGAAATGTGAGACAATGCATCGTCAATTCGTTTTTTAAATATCGCCAGATTGGGAGCAGAGACGACATATTTAGGGAGGGCGTTCTAACGTTGGCACACGCGGAGTGAAAAGAAATTTCTACGGTATTCAAGCTGGCTATAATGAATTGTCAGTTTCAGAGGGTGACCTCATAGTTTAGCGTTGTGGTTCAATTCCAGCAGCGGACGGCAAATGTGGTTTGGATTCTTCGGAATTTGGTAAACCATTATAAGATCCCCCCGCAAAAGCCGATATCGACTGCTGTACATTCTTAGAGATTTCTGTCTAAGCTGATAGGGCAGATGAAATAGGTACCTGACGTTCTTGGTTGCCCTACGTTGAGGAGTCTCGAGAGCAACAAGATCCTGTTTCTGCCACGCCTGAATAGCATATTCCACTTGCGGTCGCACGTAGGTGTTAAGCATTTGGGGAAAGATTGAGGGTCCACGCCGACCGAAGGCTCTGCGAAGCAGGCCGAAGTGTTGATTGCCGGTTCTCATCGCCTTTGCTTGTTTTGAACACCCGAGATCTTCCTGTACCAATACAACCAGGTATGTGTGAGAGTGCGTTTATCGACTTCTTACTGCGCTCCTCGATTGTGGTTTTGATCAGATTCTATCGAACTAATTCGAAGAAGTGATGCTGCTACAGGCCGTACTTGAGGGGGTTCTCGTTGAGAAGACGCTAAAGAGGCTACTATCCGAAGATGAAACGCTCCTGACTTGGGAAGAAGCTTGTGGTATTGTCCGACAGCCTGCAAACCTTGTTCAGGAACTAGCTGCGTTTTCTTCATTCAACCAGTTGATCTCACAGCATGTAAGCAGTCTCCCAGACTAACTGTGACCAACCCGTAACTTAACTTGTGCAGTGTAGAGAATATCGTTGTTGTCGCCCTCAACTGACTGTCAGCAACTTCATTCAGATTGGATATTTTGTGGTATAAAAAGCTCGTATTCAGAAGTATGTCGTTCCAAGCGTGAATCATTTGTACCTGAGCAACACAACGCTACAAGTTGCATTATCGGGTACTCACACCAGAACTAGATCAATACCACAACATTTTAATCCTGACACAACGTTTGAAAAGCCGTTTATCGTGTCTCTCAGGGTAAACGTGCAACTTGTGGTTTTTGAAATTGATACCGGTCCCGCAGTTACTCTGGTACGACCGGATGCCCTATCACAATTCCCAAATTAGATCCACCAAGTATACAATTGCGATCTTATACGGGACGGATAGTGAAGATGCTAGGCACATTTATTGTATACCGTAATTCAACGAATCATATGTGTATCTACATTTCTGGAGGACCGAGCCTAAACATGGTCGCGACGGAATTAAATGTCTCCCCATTATCATGTCGAACGTCATCTTGGTGGAAACTCACATAATTATCCGATAACTCGCATTAACATGCGGTTTTGTTCGACGAGTCTAGACAAGGCATTTTGAAAAATTACGTTGTTCATCTATTGTTAAAATCACAGGCAATACCGAGGTTTTGAAAGCTCGAGCTCTTCCTTATGTTCTTCGTGATAAAGTCGAGAGTGAGGTGCGCCTCTTTGAACCTCTGCAGTATTCGGACTGGGCAGTCTCTATAGTGCCAGTATTGAAGAGCGATGTTACCATAAGCATCTGTGGGGAATGCACGAATATATATATATATATATATATATATATATATATATATATATATATATATATATATATATATATATATATATATATATATGGTTGGCGGCATCCGGTTTCGGATTTGCCTGTCACTGTGACAAGCCACAGTCTACGAATAGACATGGAGCCATCATAAACCATGGAACTCAACGGTAGATGTTACGGAGAGTCAGCGTTCAGGCCGAGAGCAGTGCCGCCACAGTGGATTGATCCACAAGTAGAGATCGAACGCGAATATAGATCCAAATGCGAATCTGTGGGGAAGCAACGACAAGTCGGACCATGAACTTGAACCGTTTGAGTTGTGTTTATTAATATTAATTAGCATCTCCAATTTTGTTGTGTTATTGGTTTCCTACAACCCATTTATTCTGCAATGCTCTCATAGAATCAGAATCCGGATCCCTCGGACCGGTTGGTCTTGGTGTTCTCATTTCGTGGAAGGTTGAACTCTTTAGGGACGGTACAGCAGATGCAGGCAAGTTATCCGTAAACTC